GGGGGGGGGCCCAGTTATATAGTTAAAAAATGCCCTGATTCACTTATTGTTTATAAAAGCATTTTGCAAATTGAGATTATTGTGCAGGAAACTTTATTTTGGAATTAGTTGCTGGGGAGAAAAATATATTTTCTAGGCTTGGTTATAATAATAATAATAATAATGGTTTAAAGTTTGTGAGTTCACAGCATACAGGTATATCAGTGACATTTTCACTCGCTACTCTGGTTTTTCATAAATGAATGCAAAGCCCAGTTGAATTGCATTCAGGACCCAACATTTCGACACTCCAGTCTGGTGTTCTTCATCAGGCCTATGGGATGACGTCATCTGCCAACAAGATGGATATATTCTTTTGGCAACTAAACACCGTCATTAAGTTACTATTTCATTCCCCCTTATCTAAAGTTGAAACAGACTTTTAAGATGACATCATCCCATGGGTTTATAAGATCACCCTAACTATAGACTGGAGTGTTGAAACGTTGGGTCGCAAATGCAATTTGACTGAGCTTTGCATTCATTTATGAAAATCAGAGTAGCGAGCAAAACATGAATAATAATGGTTTATTATCTCTACTTATTCATTTCTCATATTTATATATACTAAGTTATGTTAATACCCTCTTATAATTAGGTAACAGAAATGGGAAAGTAGAAGAGATTGTTAGAGATGTATACCATTAGGTTAAGAATGCAAGCTTCAAGGCTGTGTTGAACCCGCTGTTTTATGAAGGTCTCTTTATCGATGACCAAAGTGCACTGAGGGAAAAATTTGCCGAAGATGTAGACCTGCAGGTTGTTCGGAATGTTTGAGATTTTTGCAGAAATGAATGTGTTGGTGGTTGTGCCATGATGATGCTTCTGGACTCTATAGATATGGCTGCAAACCTGGATTTGGCAAAAGGCAAGTGACCAGGTTTGCTGAGAGGAAATCGAGGCGATAGTTTTTGCTATTTAAAAGTATGTGTAATAGCAGCCCCATGCCAATTGAGAAATCTAACAGCAACACTGCAAATGACTTATTTGGTAATGAAATATTGACAGTTGCACAGAGATTGATCGAACTATGTTCTATCCAAGTTAACAGTTCTGGATGTGAGGATTGGATCTCTTCAATGGACGACTTGCGCTTTAGAAAAATGTTTAATCTGGGAATAACAAAGGATATTTTCGGAAAGAAGTTATCAAAATTAGAAAAACTGCAAAGTTTGGTTGCGAAATGTTGTAAAATACGGAAAATATAGCCCTGCGAAGTTGGCAAATGTGTATACATTTCTATTACGTGCGGAAATTGGTAACTAATTCACGCACGTAATACAAAAGTATACAAATTTGAATTTTTCTGTGTTGGTGTTGTGTACTCAGGTGAATAATATGTTTGCGAGGTTGCTCTGAGTGCATATCCACACCGGGCGAGCTTGAAAAATATGCCCGGCCACGGTGGGATTCGAACCTACGACCTTTGGAATACTAGCCCAATGCTCTTCCAACTGAGCTACGCGGTCAGGACGGTTCGAGTAAGTGATATTTCGGAACAGTATCTAGTTCCTTCAATACCAATGTACCGCGTAGCTCAGTTGGAAGAGCATTGGGCTAGTATTTCAAAGGTCGTAGGTTCGAATCCCACCGTGGCCGGGCATATTTTTCAAGCTCGCCCGGTGTGGGGGCATCATCATTTTAGTTCATTATACCCTTACGAAAATGTTCTATAGAATCCTATAGAATATGGTATAGAATATTCAATATCCTATAGAATATTCTATAGAACTTGCGATCCTATAGAATATTCTATTGCCATATTCTATAGAACTTCCAGATCCAATAGAATATTCTATTGCACATTCAAATGAAACATCCAATAGCATATTCTATAGAATATTTTCTATAATGAAATAGTATAGGATATTCTATAGAGTATATCATAGAATGTGATAAACCTATTGACTTAAGCCTAGTTTATTATTTATACTTTATTACAATATTATTGTGTCCCAAAAATTTACATGAAGAGAAAAGATCATGATTGATTTTAGAAAAATATTTCTTTCAAGACAATTTGTTCTTGAAACAAAAAAATATTTTCTAATAACTTAACTGATTAACTTAAGATTCTTTAAATAAGATGTTTTAATATTTTCTTATATAATATTAGTCTTGTTAATATAAGATAATTAGATATGATTTTCTTTAGAAGCAATAGTTCGCGCTTTGACTGGAAGCCTGGTGCCTAATTTACGTGCAAGGGCGCGAAGCTTCATGGGATAGCGTCGTTTTAAAATTGAAATTTGAAAATACTCTTACATGTGGATTTCAAGGGAAATTTTCCCTTATATTTTTAACCCAAACGATGGAAAAGGCATTGGAAAGTTCTCAAAATGTTATTCAAATCTCACAGGTAAGAACAGTTTCATGTTTGATGCTATTTAAGCACTTTAATTCCGAAATAATGTAGTGAATATGATTGTTTATACTTGGGCCATGTGTCTTAAATTCCGTTGAATGTTTGAATTTGCCGCGCGATTTGCATAAAAAAACATACGAAATTTCGATTTCTAGCAAGGGAAGAATAAATAAAATATAAACTCGAATCCATTATTGTGAATTCTATACTAAATTACCCACTATTGTAACAATTTAGCAATATTTGTCTTTGGCATAATTTGGCACTTTGCTAGATGCATAGACCTTTGTCAAAGTATATGAAATAATATAATAATTAAACATATCAAAGATATATATGTTAATAACATTTTAATACTTCAATAAGGATTGGAATTACAGAATAATTACAGCATTTAATGTGATATTTTCAGTGTATTGATCTTCAATAACCCATTAAGCTGCAATGCATGTGCCCAAAATTCACCCTACTAATCTACTATTGCATAAAAATTTACTAGTCTGTCCAATGCCAGACAATTTTACTTCATCTTGCAATTAGCTATTTAATTCTCTTTAATGGGTCAATGAGCTTAATTTAGTTGTATACATGTATAGAATATATCTGTAAAGCTTCAAGAT